GACCGAAGTCACACGCTCACGTAACGGCGGTATCTCCCTCGTGCAATCCTATCCGGCACCATGTCTCTACTCGGCCCACCTCAGACATGGATTTACCCAGCACGCTTTCCCCCGACACTGTGTAGTGTCCTAATCAGACCTCCCGCTAGCAATCGGATCAACTAGCCTGTCTATTTCCCCCAACTCCTTGCGATCGAGGGTGCTTCTCCCCTCCCCTTCAGTCCCTTCAAGTCATCTCCTGCTCACGATTTTCTCTTTTAGGATCAATATCGGGTTGGACTGACCAAAGAGCAGGGAAAATCAGAATTACCCCTCTCAATCACATGGAGAACAACAGGAAGGAAATAGATGAATGCGAGAAATGCAAGAATCAGCAAAATCACAAAACGCAGAAGTCACAATCTCACCAGAGGACATCGATCATAGGTCGATAGGTTGTCGTGTGCCCGCTCGTGCCCGTACTGTCCAACGTCTCACCTCCGCATTCCGATCACTGGCTGACTGAATAGCCTCCCCTTGTCTGCTCTGCTCCAGTCACATTTGTGCTTTGATCCTCTCACACCCCGCAGTTACAGGAGGACCAAAGTCCCGAGAGGCAGCCTTCCGAGGCAACGGCGCCACTGTCGACCGATAGAAGTGATCTGCCGGCACGCCGACCGAACCCTATACCTCGCGCCGCGTCTGTCACCCGCGGGAGGGTCGATCAGGGCTCCTGTACCCTGCAAGAAATCAACGTCGTCAGTATCACCAAAATACGCTAACACCTCAATATAAGGTAGAAAACTGTTGACGACGAAACAGATCGTACAAGTGATCGAAATGAGTGTTTTGATTTAACTCTGAATAGTATGAAAGTTCGCACTGCGACGAGGCCGTGGGTCTCGTCCATAGCACGAGTCTGTAAAATCCGTCTGAGTCCCAACGGAATCCAGCCCCGTCATGAAACACGCTTGATACGACAAATAGGCTCGACACTTGTCGGAGAGGCGATATCTTGGTTCTCCCGGGTGTGCGACTAGGACCTGTCCTGGGTCTAAATGTGGTCTGGTCTGGTCTGGTCCTGTCGGCCTGATCCGGTCTGGTCTGAACCAGTCTGTTCTGTCCTGTGTCTGGTCTGGTCTGATCTGATCCGATCTGGCCCGCCCTGATATGGTCTGATCTGGTTTGATTTTGGTCTAATCTTGTCTGATCTGGTCCGGTCCCGTCTGATAGGACGTGGTCGGGTCGGGTCTGTTGTAATGCTGTCTGGTCTGGTCTGAACTGAACTGATAGGTCTTATCTGGTCTGGTCTGAACTGGGACTGATAGGTCTTATCTGGTCTAGTCTGCTGCAGTCTGGTCTAGTCTGGTCGGGTTATGGTCCGGGTCTGGTTCCGCCCGGTCTGTCTGATTCTTGTCCGATTATGGTCCGGGTCTGGTTCTGCCCGGTCTGGTCTGATTCTGGTGCGATTATGGTGAAGGTCCGGTTCTGGTCTGATTCTAATCTGATTTGGTCCGGATTTGATTCTTATCTTGGTCTGATCTTGTCTGATCTGGTCTGGCCAGGTTTGATCCGGTCTGGTCTGGTCTGGTTTTGGTCTGGTCTGACCAGATCTGGTCTTGATCTGTCTGGACCAGCCTGGTCCTGATCTGGCCTGATTAGATTTGGTCTAAATTTGTCCCATCCGGTCTAATCCTGAATCCTGATCTTGCCTGTTCAGATCTGGTCTTGTCTGGATCTGGTCCCATCTGGCTAGTCTGATTCGATCTGGTCTGATCTTATCTAGTCTGATCTCTCGAGTTTCTTCGCGGAGTCGAACTGAAGTCGAGCTCAGCAGGCGTTCTTCTCCAGCCGATCCCTCCAAGCTCGTTCATTTGGCTGCAGTTCGCCGGGTGGTGGATAGGAATAACAAGAATCTCGTTTGTCCATTCATGCATGCCACTAATTAGATGACGGGGCATTCGCAAGCGGTAGATAGGACAGTAGGAATCTCGTTAAACCATTCATGCACGTCACTAATTAGATGACGCGAAGAGTCATAGTTAATTATGCCGTCCACCCGCGTTTGGCCGAGCCTCTCCACTTCGCCATCCAGAGCACTGGCAGAAACCACATTACGCCAACGTCCGTCAGGATGGATCGCCCTCTCTCTCTCTCTCTCTCTCTCTCTCTCTCTCTCTCTCTCTCTCTCTCTCTCTCTCTCTCTCTCTC